CAGGTGATCCTGCCCCTCTACTCAGCCCTGGGGAGGCCTCACCTGGAGTACTGTGTCCACTTCTGGGCTCCCCAGTACACGAGAGACATGGACATCCTGGAGAGAGTCCAGCGGAGGGCTACCAAGATGATTAGAGGGCTGGAGCACCTCTCCTATGAAGAAAGACTGCAAGAGCTGGGCCTGTTCAGCCTGGAGAAGAGAAGACTGAGAGGGGATCTCATCAACGTGTACAAGTATCTGAAGGGGGAGTGTCAAGAGGATGAGGCCAGCCTCTTCTCCGTGGTGCCCAGCAACAGGACAAGAGGCAATGGGCAGAAACTGAACCACAGGAAGTTCCATCTGAACCTGAGAAAAAACTTCTTCACTGTGAGGGTGACAGAGCATTGGAACAGGTTGCCCAGAGAGGTAGTGGAGTCTCCTTCCCTGGAGATTTTCAAAACCCGTCTGGATGTGATCCTGGGCAATATGCTCTAGGTGACCCTGCTTGAGCAGGGAGGTTGGACTAGATGATCTCCAGAGGTCCCTTCCAACCTAAACGATTCTGTGATTCTGTGATTCCCTAACCTGATCCTTCTCCACCAAGGGTTAAGTTGTCCTTGCTGCAGACTTTCCCACTGGTCTCAGCCCCCTGGGATTCCTGAAGGCCCATCTGACTAGTACAGACCGAGGGGAAGAAACCCTTGAGTACCTCAGCCTTTTCTGTATCCTTTCTCATCCCATCCCCTGCCCCATTCAGCAGCAGGCCCACATTTTCTTCAGTCTTCCTTTTGAAGCCCTTCTTGTTGACCTTCACGTCTCTCACCATATTCAACTCCAGAGGGGCTTTGGCTTTCCTAACCCCATCCCTGTATGCTCAGATAGTGTCTTTGTATTCTTCCTGGATCACCTGTCCCTGCTTCCACTTCTTGTACCCTTACCTGTTATGTTTGAGTTTTGTCAGGAAGGGGACAGGAGCACACACAGAAAACCGAGCTAGGAGGGAGTGTGGCATTTTTCTACCAAGATTGGACTGACTCTGGTAGAGGGGAATCTCACACCACCAGGCACCAAACACCTGTCTTGGCCACATGCGCCAGGGCACACCAAAGCCCCTAGTCCAAGTTGCCAACACCAAACATAGGGTTTGCAAGGCCAGCCACCAGTGCGAGAGAGCCCCAAGCCTGGCACAGGCACCAGGGATTCCCATCCTCCACAAGCACCATACTCCCAGCAACACTAATTTAAAAGCCAGCTATAATAGTAGGACGATGCCTGAGAGCCCTCCTTCAAAATAGTAATATGCTATTTATCCAGAGATTTACACCTTTCAGATAAAGGTTTGACACTTAGCGATTTTTCTCCTTCAAGTATCCCTCTTCTCCAGGGCTACAGTGGGGTTTCTCCTGCTGTAAAATCCCTAAGGCCACTACAGATCAGCCAGGATTCAGTGGAGAGCCTCAAAACACCCAAGCCAAGTTTAAAGAGTAACACCCTGGCAACCTATTTGCAACCTCCCAAAAGCCTCCCTTTGCGGCCAAGAGCCCCTCTCAGCTGGCAGCGGCACATTGGGTGCCCATAGCTGAGATCAGCCACTTGGGCAGCACCTGGGAAACAAGCCGCAGAGCAACAGGGGGCCAAGAGGCACAGTGGGACAGAGCGTGCTCCACACCATGGAGCAGGGCAGAAAGGCCCTTGTGGCTGCTGGTAGGTGGGCAGCCTGGGGAAGACTGTGCCAAGGAAGAGTAGTTTGCCCCAGGAACTGGAAAGTTGCCCCATCCTCAAGGGGCAATTACTTTAAATTACAGCAAATTCCGAGACAGAAAGAAAAGGAACAGTGCAACCACCACAGGGTGCACCCTCTCTAGAGAGGCAGTAGGAGCTCAGAGGGGCGCAGAAAAAAGGAACTAGCTGGTGAGGGGCTGGGCGTGTGGAGGTGCAGTGTTATCATGTCACTTTTACAAAGAAAAAAGAACTACAGCAGGATTTGCTTCTAGTCACATCTAACCAAAAACACCAGGATTTTGAAGGGTGCAGAATGGACTCACGGCCCTTCATGCTAGCCACTAGTCTTTGCTTCGTCATGATAGGAAATCGTTCCCCAAAGAGGAAGGACAAGAGCCCCCCTCTCATTTGTCCACCAGACAAAAGGAGCATCCCCAGAACCCAGGGCCCGGTAGCTCGGTGACAAGTACCCCAGGTGCTCCTCCTGGGAGCAAGCACAAGCCTCTCCCCAGGCAGCCCTGGTGAAATTACAGGACCAAAGCCAGCTGCAGCTGGGGAAAGAAATGACCACTGCCATCTTCACCTCTCTGCAGCCACAGCATTGCTGCCTCCAGCCTCACTGGTGAATCACTTATTATTTTTGCCAAATAGATTTGGTATGAAAAACCAGACCCACGTGCACACTGAAGCCCATTCAGTTTGGGGCTGGCAGCCCTTCACCTCCAGTGCTCCCTGGCAGGGGATTTCGGGGTGCAAATCCCCTTGCTTAGGCCATGGGTGGTTCAAGAGCCAGGGGGTTAGTGTCTTGCTCCAGTGCGACTTGGGACTAATTTCCACTCTGTGCGCAAAGAGATCCCCTCAGTCCCCCACCATGTGAACATAGATCTCACCATTCCGTTCCATGTGTGTTCCCTCCATGTCTTCATATTAGCTCCATTTCTCTCTGTGCCAGCTCAGATCCACTCCTTTCCTTGTGAGTGAAGACAAACCCATCCTCTTTCCTTTGTGTGCACACAGATCCATGCCAATCCCCTCCACATGCCTTCACAAGCCCATCATCACCCTCCAGGCATGTTCAGATCTGCTCCATTTTCTTGTGTGCCCTCAGATCTGGCCTGTCTCTGCCTTCATCTCCTAGACAGATCTCAGACCTGTGCTGTAGGTATCTTGTCTCTAGTTCTGTCTGCATCTCCTGGATGGACCTCTTGAATATATGATGTGGTCTTGTCTCCAGCCCTGTCTCTGTCCACTATCTCATGTGGACCTTGGACCTATGCTGTAGCCTCATCTTCAATCCTATCTCTGTCACCATCTCCTGCTCTTGACTGGGCTCCCTGGATGGACCCTGGCCAGGTTTATCACCTACCTCACATTGCCTGGGACTGGCAGTGGAGCTTGTTATCAGAAACCTGCCTCTGCACACCTTGGTCAGATGTTGTGGGACTGTGCCCTGCTGGTGAGGGAACTGCCTGTGTTGCAGTCATCCTGGGCTCCCAGGCTTGTCATCCCTCACAGAGCAGCCCTACTTTTGCTGCTACCTGACACCCTTCTTGTGGTCTCTATTCTCCTTTGTGTGTCATCTAGGCTTGTCCACTCCCCCTTGTGTACCCTGGTCCATGCCAACCCCTTCCATATGCACTCTGGTCCCATCTGTCCCCTCTGCCCACGTCCTCCATTCCCCTCCTTTCACTTTATGTGCACTCTGGCAACCCCTCCTCCCTGTTGCTCATCCGCTGAACCACTCAGTTCTCCTCTGCCTGTGCCCTGACCCTGTCCATTCCCTCTCTTGTGTGCTATCTTTCCTTCTGTCCCTCCCTGGCTGAGCTCCGCTCCCTTCCTTTCCCTTCTGGAAGCCTTCTTGTGGGCTCTTCTTCCTTCCTTTCTGCTCCAGGAACACACTTCCTGTCCCTTTGTGTTCACTACAATCCACCTCACTCACCTTCCTGTGCGCTCTGATCTACTGCCTTCCCATTGCCAGGCATGTTCTTAGGTGCGAGCTTGCTACTTCTGTGCCCCTTTTTGTGTGCTCTGATCCCCTCCATTTTCCCCCATGAGCTGCAGCTCCCCTCTTCCCTGTTACACACACTGAGCCACTCCATTCTCCCTCCTCTGTGCACCATTCCACCCGTGTGCTCACACCACCTCCCTGCCTCTCCATGTGCACCCTGCTCCCTTCCCACGTGGAGAGGGACAGACAGGAAAGGAGGAAACATAGTGGTGAACAGAGGAGAACAGCTGGGGAAGACAAAATGGAGCTGATCAGAGTGAATATGGAGGGGACAAGGGAGAGGAATGGAGGGGCAGAGATAGGAGCCAAGCTCTCACAGATGGGAACAAAGCGGGTAACAGAGCTCAGGGGGGTGGAAGCCAGCAGCGCAGCACTGACAGGCGTCGAGTACGGCGAGTACCCGAGAACGGGCCCGGTGAGGAACGGCCCAAAGCAACCCGAGCGGATGGGACAGGCGAGAAAGGGCAACGGAGCACCCACAGAGGGAAAGGCAGCAGGCCAGGGCTCACACGGCGCGACGCCGCACACGAGCGCTGCGGACCAGAGCGAGGAGCCGGCTGCCAGACGCCCCCGACGGCGCGC